TCTCTACCACCTCACGTGGTCTGTGCGCCAACATTAGTATCTTTCAAGCGTCAACTTGATGATGCTCTGGCAAACATCATGTTTCACCTCCCAACTACATAATATAATCTCCGTGCTAGTCAAAAAAATTAAATTACTATTTTACTTTCATGTGCTAACTATGATTTTGTGAATCGTGTTCCGAACCAAAGTCTAAACACCCTATGAGATTTGATAAGCGAAGTCTTTGTAAGTTTTTTTCCAAACTAAAAATTTAAATTTGAATTTGAGCTTCTTTGTAAAATCAATCGTTGCGCTATTGTTGCTATTGCTGAAATTTTGCTGAACATCGATAAATTCGACTCGAAATTGGGTCAATCCGGTACGTCGCTGCTCAAACGTGATCCTCATGCTTGAGGCGGTGGAGCGCTACTATCGAAACAATCTACAGTTTGAACAGTTTGATGTTTCAATTGCTACCCGGAATCGCTTTGGCAATCATCAAGACTCTCCAAAAGTGACATGTGGCTAATCTTTGTCGCGTACCAATCTCTCGCATGTTCAGCTACCGATATTCTGATGCAAAGCATGAGCAATACATTATCACAAAAGTCCACCCATGTCCTTATAATGGGTGACTTTAACTGTCCCAATCTTATTAGAACGAGGACTTCCCACCAGCCATCTGAGAGACAATTTTCTCAGTTCATTGACTCGCAACCATTGTACAACCACGTCGCAGAACTTATCAGATTGATAGCAGGTCTCGTACCATCAATAATAGACTTAGTGCGGACGAACGAAGAGTTGATGGTGGGATGTGTCAATGTCATGTCTTCATTAAGACGTAATGACTGTGCTGTATTTAATTTCGATTATCTCAGCTACCCCACTACCCCTAAAACAACTGGGAGAGCAGTAGTCGTACCATCATAGCCTACATTGAATGCAAAACCTGGTAGTAATTAAGCAATGGGTCCTCCCAGAAGATGATCATGATTCTTTTGTGGTATGGAAAAGCGTCGTCGAATATCTTACCAAAATAATAACAGCTGCAACAAGAATCAAAACTTTTCCTGAATCTAAAACTCGGCAATCATCAATTCAGAGCCGAACAAAGAAATAGATAGAGCAAAAGGACTTTTCCTGGTGGGAGCACGAAAGATTTCTATCTATTGAAACTTGGAATAGTTATACCTTACTGTGAAATTAGTATGCCAAGTATGCGTGAGAAGACATACTGATTTACCAAGAAACCGTGGCTGAAAAATGTATTTCCAATCCAAAATTGTTTTATGAACACATGAACTCTGTTGATGGAGCAACTGAACAGGCACGGATTTGTCCACAGCTCATAACGGATTTCGGCACAACTGTTCAGGTACCACAAATCTACTTCTTACATGGGATGAGTGGGTAAAATCGGTTGACATCAGGGAGTCATCAGGTACAGTTTATTTGGACTTCTCCAAAGCATTTGATCGAGTAAAGCATTAAATTCTACGGCGAAACTCTACAACTACGGAGCACGAAGTTTGCTTTTCGACTGAATCACAAAGTTTCTCCGACAGAAAAGCAATGTCAGTGCGTGTATGTGATTCATTATCTGGACCTATCACCGCTATAAGACGGGTTCTGCAAGGATCCATTCTGAACAGTCGTCTTTTTCCCGCACTAATACAGAACCGACTACATGTCCTTAAGCCATATTTACCACTATTCGCGGATAACGCTGAAACCTGGAGAACGTTAACACATTCAGAGGATTATTTGACACTCCAAGAAAAGATCAACACAGTTTACGTATGGGCAATCGCCGGTGACATTGAATTCAACATTTCAAAATGCAAAGTTATTCTCATGCGGCATATAACTCGTTTTTTCTAAGTTCTGGGGAACCAACTACTACCGCATCCCACTCCTAAAAGGAACTTAGGTGTTATCGTACAGGAGGACGTAGGATGTTTTACACATTGTGCCAGAGTATCATCCATGGCTCTAAAGTAACTTGGATTGCTTAAACGTGTTTTCGAGCAGTTCGAAATGGCACTTCTCACACACTTTCTATCAGTATTCATTCGACCACAAACGAAGTACGACGTTCAAGTATGGAATCCATAGTTGAACTGCAACGAGAAGGTCCTGGAACGTACATAAAAGTTTTCAATAAAAATGGCAAAAGGTTTGGCATACTCCGAAAGACCGTAAATATTGGGGCTTTATTAGTTACTACTTGTAAAGTTGTTGGAAACATTCTGCAAAGCTCCTGTGGGACACGATAGGTGTTAACTTTCTTAAATCGTCCGTAATAAAGTTTTAAAATTTATTCTGCCTTGTCTGAGTTGTAATATCAGTCGCTCAAACAATCTCGGTAATCACTTACCAAACGGGATCCCGTGTCCCAGCTCGGACTCGTAGATTGCGTAAATCGACGCGATCCGGGCGAAGTAAGCTTCCAAGCGTTTGCGTGGGATCCCAATATGCAAACTTGCCATCAGATGTCGACGCACGGTTTCTGAGTTACGACCTTCAGGTTTCATCCACAAAATTGGCAATCGAGACAACTCGATACTGACCCGACGATCTGTTCTCCCAGGGGGATAGATGGATGGATGGAAAATGGGAAAAGACAAATAACATTGGGATTAGTTATCATCAGTGCAGGCCGAGCGTCTCACTTTGTTTCGACGAGAAAGGAATGTAACAGTGAAATTTTGACTTTCTAAAAATAGAGTATAATACACAATCAAGCACTAAGCTTGACAATAATACTATAGGTAAGCGGAAGCTTTGTGGTTAATTGTTTATTATGTCTTAAGTAGAGGAGATTGAATTTTTACCGTCGCATTCCTTTCCACTTACTGATTGCATTGTTGCCAAAATCCAAATCCAATACAAAGAAAACAGCCTCAACTCTATTTCTTGAAGGGCAAGAAATGCCCTTTGAAAACCAGCAATTTCGCCATTGCCGTCTATCTGCTATTATGGTTTACCCTCATAAGNATAAGGCGTAATGGCCTTTTAACTTCATAGAACCGGTTATTTCGTCCACCCTCCGATACGTTTTTCTTATCAAACGCTTTAAGCAATTCGAGGTCGCTGATGAAATTCTCTGAAATGAGTCACTCCGGTATTTCCAGTTTATAATGAGCACCTGCACACTCCGATTCACCATGCCACGTTCGCACCGTGGTATTACATGCGACCAAATACTTTGAGCATCTTCAAAACTTTTTTAAATAATCAAAATGTTCATTTAATCCTGTAGATTGGACAATTTTGGTTGAAGTATAAGGCAGCAGCGACAACAGATACTTGAACTGAGACCAAGGCGGTTGAGCCACTCGAAAACACGGATGTTGGAACATCCAGCCGATTGGTATGTTTCCTCGCACAATATGGGGAAATTGAACTATTGTGGTTGAAAATGAAACATTCTCGTGCTCGCACTCATCCAGCTCCGAAAAGATACGGCCAATATTTTCAAGTGTGTTGATGGACACAACCGAAAAACATACATCTGCGTCTTTCCCTTCCACAGGTCTCATACACCAGGACCATTATAGTTTATATTAACTAAAAAGTTCACTTGATGCATGGGAATAAAATCATTACTTATGTTCAAATTTGACTTACAGTTAATTGTGACTAATGATGTGGGATTATTGTTGTATTGATTTTAACCGACTATCCTTCAGAGTTCACCTACATGCACAATCCTCAGTCCTTCTAATCTAACTGAATGACTGTTGCCTAATGAAATTTCACTCTTGGAAAAATATGACGTAAATAATTCATTATTAATCCAGTATAAGGACTTTAAACAGAAATACATGGGCGTAAGTATGAGCGGAACAATGGAGCTTCATGAGTTGGCTACAGCACTGGGAACTTTCCGGTTTTGTATTCGGCAAGTCAATTGTGATATGGTTTCTTATGAGGAAACTCTAACTTTCAGAACTTGAACATGCGTGCCATCAGCGTTATGCCTATTGGAATGTATAGGTAACTCAAGATTTGATTGCCAATACATATGAAATATCAAAAATTAATAATACTATCCAAATAAATATTATTTTCATCTTTTTAATTTTTTAATCTATCAATAAACCGATTATTTTTAGCAAGGTGTTGGCGATCAATCTGTGGTTGCTGGGGTATTACGGAAGGCAGAGACAATAGTCGGCAGTGGCGGGATCCGATACCCGTGACCCACGGATCACTGTTGAGAGAATCTCAACCGAGTGACCGTCACCACCGTGGTTAAGAATAAACCATGAATTTCAATTATTCTTGGGTTCTTTCTTCACATACGAGGAAGTGTTATGTAACTGTCAGAGGCCTGGAGTGAAGAACATTTCGATGAAAAATAGAGAAAGTTTTACATTTTTAAGTGGTTAGTAAATTTTAAGATCTCCGAAAATTTGCAACAGATTTACTTTAGAAAACCAAAGTGTGTGACACAAGTTCCTTTGAAAGTAAGTGCGTCTATTTAAACTTAAGGTTGTTCGTGAGTTATTTTCCACATTCCATAAACTGTGTTCTCCGAAAAACGCTAGGTAACTATTAATTAAATCTGGAACGCCAATTTTGGCCACAAATATTTTACTGAAAAACATTTTTCTGAAGGAATTTTCGTAGTCTACCGTTTATTTTCAGATAAAGCAGAAGAATAAAGCAAATCAGCCCCAATAAAAAGCTGCCAAACCCGAGTGGGCGGTATCTTCTACTGTACATACCAATCAAGTAGCACCAGACGTTCCCGCTTGAACAGCTCTACACGCAGCGACGGACAGAAACAACCCGAGGCGAACTGTCTTTAAACCGATTTACCCCGAGTGAGAGTAAAACAGTCTGCTGAAGAGAAGAATTTAGACGCGTGTTATCAATCAACACCCAGATTCAATTTTCATGACTGAAACCTGGAACTTGTTTGGTTAATAAATCTGCAAAGTTAACAGACTGTTGTAATCGACGATAAACGGCAAATCTCTTAGGAGAAGACACTGGTTAGGCCGCATATCCCACAATTTTTGTTATAGCGCATTATCAGGGTGTCGTTTTACTATTATTTCCTAGCTGAGTGTTCAATGACCCTAAATTTCCTTGTCAAATGTTTAAATTAACAAAAACGGGGGCAATACATGCTATCTTTTGACAGACATTTTCACTTCATTTCAAGTGCATTTATTTTGGTATTGGAAACTACATTGGTCTGATTATCCCGAACAGACCGGGCACGCAAGTCACTGAACTTCAAAGTAGGCTGATTGTAGTGTTGACGAATTGATTTACGATACAAACACCAAGTCAGTTCAGATAAATAAGACACTGGGTTAAATAAATACTCACGAATTCAGTAGAAAGCTAATCAGTCAAATGCAGTTCAATAAAATTGAGGTGTCTTCAGTTAGACCAATCGGCTACTATACTTTTGTATATCATTCAGGCTTTACCTTCATCCAAAATGAATTAATCTTCCTTCGCTGCTATTCTTGATCCACGAAAGCCCCGAGAAAAGACCTACTTGCGACATAGCCGTCCATCCCAGGTTAGTATAATCTCTGTTGTTTGTTTTAAGATAATAGATGTGTGTTAATTTGTTATTTCATAAGGAAAACAAAACACGTGAAAATATTTGTGATCATCTAATCCGACAGTAATTGGTGTGGAAAATGTCTCCATTTTAAGTAAAAGCAGCATGGGCAAAACACAGAACTTGTGGCATTTCATGCTTTTCTGTTTTCATACCAGAAAGTTCGCCAGATTAGTTCCATTAATTGAAAGATGGACGCAATCTATTTCAGTCGAGGACGGTAGAACAGATTCAGGTAGAAATCTAAGGATGAATCAGGCAGATAACAGGCCTGTGCATTTAGGTTTCTTTCGATACGGCAATATATGTTGTAGACAACTCTTCAAGGTCACTGTAATAACCTTGATCGGACACAAAATCACAGGGGATTGAGTGACCTGGTGCATGTAGAAATGTTACACATCCATCATTGATTCCGGCACAAACGCACGCGTGGCGAACTGAACTGACATTCCAACATATTTGAACTGGATATGGGGTCAATGTTCAATATCATAATATCAACATGCTCTCTCATTGGATAATAGTTGGATATTAATTTAAGGAATTTAGAATGTTAATATTTGGATAGAGTCGGCCCGAAAGGCCAGTATCTTAAGAAACGAGGTGGGCAATCGAACCAAGCTACACATTGAATTGCTTTTAGACGGAGCTCATTAGTTTGACCAAACGGCCAATTTTCTAGTGAGCAGAATACTAAACTGGGGTCAGTGAAGTCTTGCCTTCAAACTAACTGTGACTGAAGTGTGTACTTCATCTGATGTGGTTGAATTGGTTGTACAATCTTTCCTGCCTGAATACGGTCAATATAAACTTGAAAATTGCGTGAATAAGGTTGGCATATTTGGAAAAATATTATGGAGGGTGCAGCGATGCACATTATACACAATGTCGGAAAACGGAAACGACAAAAATGAAGTAACAAAAGAACATAAGTTTGAGCTCAGTTTTTCAGCCATATTTGTCAAAAAGTACAGATAACGTGTTGTTATTCACGGAATAAGAAGAAAGAAAAACAAAGAATAAGGAAACAAAAGATAGGGAAGAGTTTGGGAAATGAGTGGCAATGACGTAGCACCATCACACATTCATACGCTGAAAACCAGGTTTGTCATAGGACAAATTGAGCTTCACTAGGAACCAATGATGTTCGAATGAAGGTGGTTCATACAACCCGAAGACGAATGCCCAGACAAACGTGTGTTTTCAAAAAAGGCCATAAAGACTCTGTCGTATGGTAACAACTGATGAGTCGATCTTTTATTATAGGCAGTAACTGGACCAAAACAAAACGTTGCCACGGGCTACTCTTGACGTAAGAACAAATGTTCGCCGCCGAAATCTACTCCAGAATGACCGTAATACTCAGCCCAGGAGATTGATTAGAACCAACGCAGCTCCAATGCTTTTATTAATTAAAAATGAAAAGCAGATGGGACATATCAACTGTACTCGTTTTAAGGTACTCACTAAAACAGATTAAACGGGATAGCAAAGAAAGGCTACTTCGCAGGCTCCTGGCAGAGTGAAATCGGTAAATGTTGAAGAAAATAAAACCAAAAATGGAAATCGATGAAAGTTCACGAGGGAAGAATTTAGGTTTGCAGAATACGGATTGTATAGGTCGCTTTAAAACGTACCCTCGTAATAAGTTCGTAATTACCTGTTCCATCTCAGTATTCCTTATGACCGCGATGAAGAAAACTGATCTTAGTTCATCGGTTATATGAATAACACTATGCGGTGGAAGACAATAAAAATGTAATACGCACTTGTATAAGTTTTCATCAAAACAAGTTTAATAGAAACAGGGTGAAAATTTTCATTCAGTGAACCGTTTTCTCATCTTCATTTGTCGAATGATTCAGTTTGTTTCAGTTATCCATGTGCAAGGAGCCTCATCCTTCGGCCGACTGTCAACAATCAACTCATCGGTATCATTAGCCCAAATCTATTGTCTATCTTTTCCAAACTGTTTTGATTCTTCA